GGCTAAAGACTAATCCACTCACGTTTTCTTTTATGACTTCGTTTTTCGTACTTACGCTTATGAAGAATTTCTAATGGCACAAGAAAATGCTAATGTAAATGTTTCATAGGAAACAAAACTGTATGTTTAGTGTGATGGCAAGTTTCTAAAATTAAAATTGTGTATATTAACATTAACAGTGGTGGTCTCTGGCAAGAGAATGGGTATTTTTATTTTCTTTTTTATTCTTTTCTATATTTTCCAAGTTTATAATGTATTACTTTGGTACTCAGAAAGAAGCACAATGCTATTTTTAAACATTTCCCTGATATTCTTCCATGTCCCAAGAAATCATGAAAATTAGTTGAAACGACTGACATAGCCCAGCAATTTCTCTGAAGGTTGGTTAGCTATGGTAAACATCAAGCCAGATACTTAAGTGGACTCAGAAAAGAAATCTATCGATTGGCTAAAATAATTTTATTATATTAGTGACAGATGTTTACAATGATATTCTTTTTAGAAAAATCTTCAAAGAGAAATGAACTGTGACCAGTGGAAGCCATTTATGTGACAATTTGGGAAGAGTACAGTGAGGTGGTAAAGAACATGGATGTGGAAGTCAGAAAGACTTGGATTTAAATCCTAGTCAATTTACTTACTACCCCTGTCACCTTGAGCAAGTTAATTAGCCTCTTTTATATCAGTTTGTTTTTATAAAATAGGGATAATAATACCTTTCTTACAAAGTTTACATTTGGTTTAAATGTTATAAAATATATAAAATACTTAATATAGTGCCAGGTTAGAAATTTTCATTAAAAGACTCCATCCACTAGATAGAATGGACTTGGTTACTATCCAGACTTCCCGATGATTGCAGAATAGAAGACAACTCATTTTTGAAGATTCCTCATTGCACCTTTATTTTATAATGTGAAGGTGTAAAAACAGATATTGCTTGTTTATTTATATAATTAGATGATTTGTAATGGAAGGGTTCTCTCTCAGTACAATTTATAAAGTCTCTCCTATAAACTATTTCAGTGCCATTTTTAGAATCACTAATAAAAATTTAGCTGATATCACTTGACTCCAATTCCTATTTAGTTCAAATGCTCTTTTCAACAAGGCATCCTTTTACTTACGTCGATTTAGCAGATGGCGTAATTGTAAACCCAAGATTGCAGGACTAGAAGTCTCTTGGCAACATCACACTGTTTATCCTTTGTATACAAAGCATAGAAACCGACTGCAACTCAGAAGAGTCACTGAAAGAATATCACATTCTTAGCTGTAGTTTAGCTTCATAATTAGTTCAGAGAACCCATGTAGTCACACCCCAGTGTACAAGTGTTGTTACAACAAAAAAGTAGTACACAGTAGCACATGAAAGACTTATTGTTATGTTAATGTGAGGCCTACTAAGTAAACAGTATTTATGTTGATGGGCATCTTCTGTAAGACCATTAAGAATTTGGACTTGAAAGGAATCAAAGATTTATAATAGAAACAAATATTCAAGTAAGAGTGTTGAGTGTCAGATTTTAATTAAATAACATGATTTATAAAGCATTCATTTAGCATTTGATTTATAATCTTCATGCTTAAATTTTGCTTTCTTTTCTCTTTTCCCCTGGAAGACCTACTTACTAATGGATTAATCCATAAACCTCAATCCCTAGAAAATCGAGAGCGACAAAAGTCGTCAGACATCCTGGAGGAATTAATTGTTCAAGGAATAATACAAAGCCACAGCAGAGTATCTAGAAATGGAGAATCATATGATGTCATGGCAAGTAATTTTATAATTAACATTAGTTTTTAGTTAAAAATAGCAATAGATTATGATGGAGCATGAGTTATTATTTTCAGCATATGCATTTTGAGAGTCACAGTACAGATTATAGCATTTATCCAAGCCATTTTTTTTTTTCTCTCATAAATTCCCTCACCACTGTGCATATCATCCTTCTGTATGGATTCAGGAATTGCCCTAATCATTCATGATTAATGAAGCCAATAAAACATATCTTGGGTTTTACTAAATTTGAGATGCAATAAGCTCCATTCAATATATGCCTTTATTCTTTCAACATTTTTTATTAAGCGTTGCCTATGTACTAGGAATTGTGAATATAAAACTGAACTCTGACTTAGCCAATAAGAAAATAGACCTAAATGCCAAAGCTAAAATAGGCATGCTTATATATTTATATACACACTGTAAGATTAAATATGAGGAAATAAATACAATAATAGAAATTGTTTTACTCTTATTTTTCTTTGTTGGTTCATTTTGACTAATCTATCATTGTTTTTCCTTAGTGTGAGCAATATTTTTACCTTGATTTTAACTGATTGTGGCCAAAGTCTTGAGGTCTTAATTTTTTAATAAGTTCTGTGTAAACCTATAAAGAGGATAGCAGGTTTTGTTGTTGTTTTTGTTGTTATTTTGTTTTGTTTTCTTATCTGTCTAGTTTTTTTCTTAAGCCAATGCACCCGGGCAGCTCCAGTTATCCTAAAACATAGATGGAAGAAAGAAATGAAAAGAAGAAATAACAGAGAAAATAAGCCTGAGGAAAAATGAATGAGAAAGAAAAGAAAGAGACAGAAATGGTAGAAACAGAGACCAGAAATTACATCAATGGCTCCCGAGTGGTTGCTGATCCCTGTATTGTAAGGAAAACAGTCAATTTGGAATAAAAAGATGCATTATTTAAATCAAGTTTGCCACCTAGACCAAGGCACTCAGTGTTTGAATAAAAGTAATTTCCTTTCCTGTTAAGGAAATGCTGAGAACTCATAAATATAAGCTAAAGTGGTATTTTCTTTGGAAGAAGGAAAATAAGCACTGCAGAAAGTATTTGGGGAAAAAAGAGGAGATTACTAAAGCTTATGAATGATATTATCAGGCTGCCTATAATAAGAGGATGTGGGGAAAAAGGGAAGGGAAAAAAAAACGGACCATATAATGAAAGAGATAATGCCAACATAATGACAATTTACATTTGTGTAGTGAAATCCTGATACAAGCCATTTTGGAGTACCTTGTTTAAAAGTACTAAAAGAAAGGAGAGGAGAGATCCCTGCCCACCCCCCCACACCACCCCACCCCCCTCGCCGGCTGTAGGTGAGTCTGCGGGTCAGAAAAAAAGAAGGTATGTCAAAAGAAAGACAGGAGAGCAATCTAGAGAAGGGTAAATTGTGGTAACATTGAGAGGCCAAATGATGGGTTTTTTTTTTTAAGGAAAATGCTGAGGAACCTTGATGTTAATGCCAGTGGGAATAGAATTAAAACTTTTTCCAGTGATTCAAATGCCAGAGATGAATGAGTTCAGACTCAGACTTTGCGAGGGCACCAACAAGGTTAATTAATATATGCTATATTGTGAAAGAAATGTCTCTATTTTAAAAAATGAAAACTATGGGCTTGACTTTGAATAACATCATTAAATGAGCCAGAGGAAGGTTGTTTTCATATTCTGTAGACATGGAATGGTTGTCAGGAGCATAGCTGGGGTGTTCTCAAAAGGATCAAAATGTGACAGGATTGCAGAAACAGGCAAGAGTAACACAGCTCTTTTGTGTTTTTGTGAGCTTTGTTTTGTTTTCTTGTCTTTGCTTTGGAATTAAGCCAGGATGTCCCAACATAAGCCAGGCTTGCAACAGGCCAGCATAACGTACAACTGTGCCTTTTACTGCCTAGTGCAGTAGTCCTTAACCTGGCTGCACAATCGAATCACCCAGAAAGCTTTCAAAACTCCAGGTGGCCAGGCCCCAAATAGGACCAGTGGTTGGGGGTAGGCCCCAGCTGTAGCGCATTTGAAAGCTCCCAAAAGGTTCCTTTGGGCAGTCCAGGCTGAGAACCACTGCCCTTGAAGTTTCAACAAACAAATACACCAAGGCCTCAAGTCTATTGTAAAGCTGCAAAAAGTTAAAGCTTTTGAAATTGAAATCCCCCACTCATTTTGAAAGAGAATTCTAAAGTATTCCTGAAAATATGACATATTTTCAGGTGTAAGACTAAGATTATACCCAGGAAATGTATGGAAATGAAGGAGAGACATAAGTGCTCAGTGTCACAGGTAAAGTCTCTTTCAATTCAGGTGTAGCCGAGAATGTAAGTGCGCCAGACACCACATGTCTCACATATTTCGGGAAAAGTTATGAGGCTAATGTGAAAAGATGAAAATGAATATCGAAGAACTGAAAGGCGAACCACATCAAAAATGGAAATATTATTAGACAGCTAATACTTTTAAATAATATTTAATAATTTGGGGGGGGGGAAGATGATAAAATTGGATAAAAAACAAACTAAAAAATAAACCAAAGAGCCAAGGGAAACAGAAAGGAGGGTCAAAAAAGGACGTTGATGTCTGCAGTAACTATAATGTGATAAATCCAATCAGACACATAAACATTATTTCTTCATTGCTTAAAAAAATTTTTAAATAAAATATTATAGGGAAATAACAGGATAGTGAATGTGAGGATACTTTAAAAACAAGACTTCTTATATAGACCAAGAGTATACTTAAATATAAGGGAATTTTAGACCTAGATCTGTCACCTTCTTAACCAGGTTGTTATTTTTAACTCAGTTGTCAGTTAGATTAAAATATGAGAAAGGATGCTGAAAAGTGAGGGCCCTTCATTCATCTTCTAAATCGGGGGATTCCTCTGTGAGCCAGAAGTCCATGGCAGTATCTGTGTCCATCACATGGCCCCGTTTCACCTTTTTTCTTAATTTTTATCATTTGCTTGTTGGCAAGCACTACAGCAATTCTATAATGCCCTCAGGATAACCTGCTTTCAGGCATACTCATACTAATAGACGTTATGTTCACTCAGAGAGAATTGTAATAATATGTAAGAAATATATTATGAGCTAAAACTCAGACTAAGTGAATCCGTATATTTCAAAACATCCTCGTGAGACTTAAGTGGCTGCATTATAAATGTGAAATGGTTTTATGTACACGTGTAAATATGTGTATGGATTGGTACAGATTTCTTTAGAGGGATGTGATTGGCTCTCATTTATCTACACATGTATTATCCACTTTAGGTGTCTTTTATCCCAAATTTATTTCTCCCTGCCTCTTAGGGTATCCTGGGTCTCCCTATCCAAGACTCTGAATTCTCTGTCGATTCCTACCGTCTCTGGTCAAAGTTTATTTCCTTTTCTGGAGACTTCTGTACTTGGTAACCCTTAGTGCAGTTAGGGAGTTTGTTCACATTGCATCAGAGTCTCTAATATTATTTGTTGAACCTCATGGGGAGTCTTTTAAGGAGAAGGAAGTCGACTGGTAAAGACCAAATAATGCCAGTTAATGCTCAGACTAAGCTTCCTCAGGAGGTATAACATTTTTTTTGAATGACAGATCTCTTGTGAGAAGTTTTGGCCTACTCTGTGCACAAGATTCTGGTAAGGGAGCTTACCAAGATAGGTTCATCTGTAGGTCAACAGTTAATTACAAAATTTCTGAGGAGTACACAATGGATGCAAGAAGTAATATATACAGTACGGTTGGCTAAACACGAGACCCAAATCTTATCAGAGCACCTTTGGTTGTGGCAGTCCTCTGATGATGTTCTTAAAGAAAATAATTGAACTAGTAACTTCCATAGGTTTAAAGTTGATTTTTTTTTTTAAGAATTTCTATGGGTAGCACCCCTCTAAGTATGTGATCATTGTTATCATTTTTAAGTGTGAACAGTTGATAAATCCTGACTTCATAAAATGCAGTGGTAAAGAATACAGTTATCTTTCCTTGGGTCTTTCAGCACTTTTACTTAAAGTGTCAGACTCAAGAAAGGATGTGGGCTGCACAGGTAAGATTAACTTCCACAAAAAGGAGGAAGTACATGATTTCATAGGCATCATTTTAGGATAAAGCCACAGGAAGAGTCACTCAAACTGGAAATTCTAAATTCTCTCTGAACTACTGATTAATCATTTTAGTCAAGGTTTAGACTCCTATGTAAAGCCTAATGGAGCCTTCCTTTTATAAGATCTTGGATTACCATTTCATTTTCTTTTAGCCCTCTATAAGTGAACTTCCCTAAAAAACTGTTTTCATACTGATTTCACAGTATCTCTAGTTGAACCACCATAGTAAATATGTCCCTGTTTTCAGCAGATGGCTTTTGCTAGTAGGAAGCCTTAGAGCCAATTATCATAAAAATAATAACGATGATGGGGGAAGGAGAGGTTGCTTTGACAAACACCCCATAGTTTTTATGTAGTGAACAACTTCTTACCATATAAAACTGCCTCAAGGCTGTAACTGAGCCAAAACTTAAAGAAATGTTTTCTCTTTAAACGGCTTTCCGAGAATCATATATCTTAAAGCTGGAAGGAAGCTTAGCCATCATCAGTCTCCTCATTACACTTACATTTGAGAAAAGTGAGTGTAAAGAGAAAAGGTGCTTTGTCTCAGGTCACACAGTGAGCATTGTGATAGATCCAGAGTTAAAACCCAGGCCTCCTCCCTGTTGGCCCCTGTGATTCTCTCATTGCTCCCCTTTGTGACAAATGCTTTATCTTGGTTGTGATTCCGTGTGCTCTCATCTAAACAGCTTCTGCTTTCACTCAATGAAAAGTCAGTACCATTTACTGAATGTCCACTATCTACTCCCTTCCCCCCCCTTTTAAAAAATATCCCATGAAAAATATTATTAAACCTATTTTATAAATAAGGAAAGCAAGGCTTACAGAATTTAAGAAGTCATGCAAAGCCACAATGTGGCTGAGTCAGGATTTAAACCCAGGTCTGTCTGAGTCCAGATCTCTTGCCTTTTCCTGCTATGCTAAATTGTCTCTCTGTTTGATTTATTTTCTCAGTGCCTACAGTATTGTAGTCGGAAGAGACAGTCTTTTAGATATTACAATGATTATCAATAGCTCTTTTGTCTTTAAAAGTCTTTAGAGAAATTATCTAGGACAATTTTCAGTTCATTTTATAATGAAGACTTGGAGTTCATTAAGACTTTTCCCAGTCATAATAAATCTATGTATACTGACCTAGAAAGATGTTCAGATTAAAGTAAGTGAAGAAAGAAAATTGCAGAGTACTGTATGTGGTATAATTCCTTTTATGTTTGGTTTAACATTACATATGTACTGTACATATGTGTGTATATAAATATATGTGCAGGGAGAACACACACCAAACTCTTTCAAATGGTTCATGCTGATGAGTGGGATTGGGGTCCAGGTGGCTAAACAGAATATTAAGTTATTTATGTTTTAATTTTTCATAACCAATCTGCCACTGGAATGTTTTGAGTTTTAGGATTTACATTTTAAACTGTGTTTATTCTACCTCGTGTCTTTCCCCTCTGCCTATGAATATGTTTGTTTCTCCATTTTAAGAAGTGTCTTCCTCCAGGTGCATATGACTGAGAAGCCACTGAGAAAGCCACCAGCCAGGCTGAAAAAACTTAAGATCAAAAAGGAAGTAAAAGATTTCACAATGAAGGACTTAGAGGAGAAGATGCAGGCGGTGGAGGAGCGCAGGAAGGTGCCTGAGGGGTCACCGGGGGGGGGGTGGGGCGGAGCTCCTGCGGAAACCTGGGGCCTTTCCTATCAGCAGCATTAAGACAAATAACGCGGAACTGGATTAATTATCTTCATGATCTGTATGCTTCTTATGCTGCATGTTTAATTTTTTTGATGTGTGCAGTGAAGAGAAGGAATGAAGCCATATCTTAATGTTGGTTGAACTACAGTTTCATCCATATGTCCTAAGGAAGTAATATCCAGTTCTCAGAACTGAGTAAAATATGGAGTTTTCTTCAGATGAAAAAGAAAACTTCAGTTGGGGCCAGGGGCGAGAGGAGGTGTCGGGGTGGAGGATGGGAGCTGGAGAGGAGGCCACGGAAACCATCAAACAGCTCCTGCGGCGTTTGCACCCATGGTCCCCCTTACCCTCTGTCAGCCATCCTGCCGGAACCAGCCTCGCGGCTTTGCTCTCACAGTCTTCATTTCCATCTCTCTGCTTGGCCTCTCAGAGCGAAAGGACTAGACAGAGGCTCCGTGAGGGCAGGGAATGTGCCTGTCTTCAGCAGTAATTCTTCAATTTATGTTTGTTAAATGACTGAATAATGAACTAGGAACCATAATGTTAATTACAGGCAATATTAATGAAAAGTTGGAGAACATCATTTGGGCTCTTTTTCATTCTTTGATACTGCTTTTCAGACTAAAGAAGAAGAAATAAGAAAAAAGCTACAGAGTGACCGACTTTTGCCCCCAGCTGATCATTTAGATTCAGCTGAGCCTACTGGGGCTGAGGCGCCATTTGCCAAAGGACTTAACCCTGTGAGTTCTGCCGTGTGTGACCTATCTGACCTGCAGGGAGGAAAGCCTTTGAAAAGGAGGAAGAGTGAAAGTGACATGACCTCAAGTGATAGAAACTATAGTTATGAAGGGGTTGGGGTTGTGGAGTCAGACATGTTCTACAACCAAGCAGATGACATATTCTAGTAAGCCATTTTATGTGAATTTCGTGACAAAGAATCCATTTCCCCCATAGTTGTGACATTCTTAGTATGTCTCATGTTTTTCTTTGATGGCCTGACCTCATTGGCAGGAGGTTAGATGAGTAAATTAAATGGTTAATGGCTATGCTAAAAACAGGGGATGGGGGGTAGACTTAATGACCTTTGATATTATTAAGTTGGCATCCTCCTTCACTGTGGCTTCAAACTTTGTAAAGATGCCTTTAACTTAGGACTACCTCCCAGCTCACATTACTGTGTTTGTGCCAAATGAAACCCTTCCTTTTCGCTCCTGCCCCTTGGCTATGTCTACCCCCTGAGGGTCTTTGAAGACAAAAATGCAAAGATCTGTGCTGTTTTAATGATCTGTATGCTCCATATGCCGTTTGTTTGTTTGTTTGTTTTTAATTCTCTTTGTATTGTGAAGAGGCAAAAAAAATCTTAGAGTTGGTTGAATTACAGTTTCATCCATATAGCTTGAGGAAGCAATATCTAATACTCGGAACTAAGTAAAGAGACTCTAAGGTTGGAAGGAGGTCCAGTGGAGGAAGTAAGCTGAGAGGAGGCACTAATGCCAGTGCTTTACTTCCTTGTGGGCACCCGGAGATGAAGAGTTTGAGGGCCCTCAACCTATTGGAATTACACTTTGGTTCTTCTCTCTCCTTTACCACCTACATCCAAACAATCATCAGTTTTATGAGTCTATATTCTAAAGATCTCCTGTATTCATTTTCATACTTTTTCCCTGTCACTACATAGTATAGACCACACTATCATCAGTCAGCTGGATTACTTCAGCAGTTTCTTTGATATTTATGCAACAGTCCTCTACTTAAAATCCTTCGTAAGTCCATTTTACCATCAAGATAAAGTCAAGACTCCTTTTTGTGACTGGTGAGGATCTCACCAGTGCCTTTGCAGCCGCTCTCCAGCGCTAACATCACCACCTCAGCTCCACCTCAGATCATCAGGCATTAGATTGTCATAGGAGCGCCAGTCCCTGAAGCCAAAAATGTTGGAGACTGCCACTACATGACAACTGTGTATTTTCTTAGTGAGACCATTTACTTTAACAGGATGGGAAGAGACACAAAAATGTAGGACAACCTGGATACCAGAAACTGCTGTAAAGTTCTAAGTATATTACTACTCACAAAACCATCTGAAGGGTGAGATCAAAGAAACAGGTTCAGAGACTCTAAGCACTTCCCTTCTTCACAGAGATCTAGCATCAACTGGTGATGAAGCTTGTCTTTGAACCTGCTCTGCCTCCAAGAAGCTATCAACCCCATCCATGCAACATTTAAAGAAAAAAAGTAAATGTGACTTTTTCCCATGAGCTTCTTCCTTTCTTTCTTTTCTTTCTTTCTTTCTTTCATTCATTCTTTTCTTCCTTCCTTCCTTCCTTCCTTCCTTCCTTCCTTCCTTCCTTCCTTCCTTCCTTCTTTCCTTCCTTCCTTCCTTTGTTTCAAAGGATGATTTATATTGACCGTAATGGAAAAGACTGAGTTTTCTAAAATATAGCCCCTGGGATCATGTTAATTTTATGTGTTGAAGTAACATAATTGATTTTCTCATTCTTAAAACATAAAGCTTTGAACAACTACCAGGGTATTTCAACTAAAATCAAACCACAACCTTCAGGAAGTTGTGAGTTGGGAAGGCAAGGTTAAGTAAATGTCTCTATATTATTTTAATTGGAGGCAACTAGAAAATGCCTGTGTATATTCTTTGTAAAAGGTGGACTTGTTGTGTCAAATAGAAGATAATTTGATATCTAGTAAATCCTCTAGTTTTTTTTTTGGGGGGGGGGTTACCTTATGAATAACATATTTATTATAATATTCAAAGGTATATTTAAAAATATTTCACATATATTAAAAATAATACACATTGTAAGATTCTTATGTTAACAAAAGAGATTTTGTAATCACAGGGACAAAAACAGACTGTAATAGATATTGCTATAGTGACTACCAGTGATTTACGATGGTGCCTATTTCTGTGTTTGTTATTTCTTTATCAGTAAATAGCTAGTATTTGAAGGAGTAATTGTATGAGAAGTACTGCATTCTAAAGATGTGTAACGCTGTGGTGTGTCAGCAGATAGATCACTTTAGCACCCATATAACCTGTATCCACTGTCCCTTCTTGTAGGACAGTGGAATCTATGTCTCAGGAGGTCAATAAAGGGCATTATTTAAAAATAAACTGTGGGTGATGATGGTTATGGTCTCTCTGTATCACTTGTATTTGTTTTTTTAAAACTCTTTAAATATTACATAAGTAATATGTAACAGGGAAAACTAAAAAACATAATAAGCAAAAAAACATCAGGAATCCAACAATTTTTTCCTCCCACCAAGATCACTGCTAGGAACATTTTACTCTATGTATTTCAACACTTTTTCCTTGCAAAAATGAACTCATACCGTACAAGCTGTTTTATAACTTGCTTTTTTCACTTGACAATATAGTATCTTTCCATGTAAATAAATCTGTTTCCACAGTATTGTTCTTAACGATGGGACGTTGTTTAGTCCCCCTGTCATTTCTGGGGGTTCCCACAGTTAAGGAGAGTCAGACCACAGTTTCCATTTCTGTTTTTAAAACGTTGACAAGTGAATTAGATTGAACATTCCCCCAATAAATCAGAACAGTCTGAACCCCTTGGAGTGCAGAAGCTGCCATGCTCGCTTTCCCAGAATACCACTTTCCATTGTCTTTATTCTTGGTCACTGGCCTTCGGTGACAGTGCTGGACTGAGAGTTCAGATGAATACTGAATGTCAGATGGAACCAGTTTTGCAAATCCACCTACAGGCTCTTCTCTTGTTCAGGAAGTTGAATTCCTCTCATCACAGTTTCTATTCATTACACTGAGATCTCAAGCATCCTTCGAAAGCCCACATAATAAAAGGAAATAGAATGACAGTTATGTCTTATGTCTGAGTTGGTTTCTCATTGATCAGAAATGAGGGCTAACCACATTTGCAAAGTGGTATTGACAGAAAAGTGTTTGCAGTTGAGGGTCTGAAACCTTTTCTCATGTCATTTAGAAACAAAAAATTAAAAAAAAAAGAAAAACAAGAAGTTATAGTCAGAAAAGTAAAATGATTAGCTATTTTAAACATAAAAAGTAGTTATGAAAGCAGTAATTTAATTCCTAGTAATTAATACATAAATTTCCTCTCTACATTATGCAAGTCAATCCCTAAACCAAACACAATATGTCATTTCAAAATGTATGACATGACAACAATTTATGTTTTTCCTGCTTTATTTAAAAGAAACAGTAATGCTCATTTGTTAAATGGGAAAAAGACTGTACAGAGGATTATCATTTAACCAAACCTTATTTACTTATTTGTGGGATTGGTCTGTACAGTGGTTTACAGAGTGTCTCTCTCTCTCTCTCTTCTCTCTCTCTCTCTCTCTCTCTCTCTCTCTCTCTCTCTCTCTCACACACACACACACACACACACACACACACATACACACAGGCCCCTAGCAGCATCGGCATCACCTGGGAATCTGTAATAAACACAAATTCTCAGGCCTCACCCTAGACCTTTCGTGGGGTGAAGCCTGAGAATTTGTGGGTATTTACAAGCCCTCCAGGTGGTTCTGAGCCTCAAAGTTTGCCCTGTGCTTTGCCTTTCCTCTGCAGACATACCAAGCCATGCCCACAGTAAGCTCCCCATTCAAGATTAGAGGCCATTTTTCAGCATGCCCAGGTACCCCTGTCTCCAAGGGTCCAGCAGAATATTTACCAAGAATCAGTTATGTTTATTCCAAAACTTATTAATGCCATTTGTACTATTAGAGTTAATTTTGAATAGCTTTTAAAAAGTAGTCTGTGAAAGAGTAGACAAGATTATTTTTAAAATCTTTGAAGATTCTACACATAAAATGTACAAATTTCATTTTCCAGTTTAAGGAAACTTAAACTGCAATTGTAGATAATGCACTGTGCATGTGGTTTAAGTAAGAATTTCGATCATGCCTTGTATTACATCAAAGTATTTTCAAATGAAAGCTTATATAAATCTTTTAAGTTAAAATAAAGTATTTAGAGTATATATGCATTGTTTGTTAAGACTCCCTACCTGCTTGACTATTTTTAATTAACTAATAATCTCTCAGAGCTAATTGCATCTATTGTATTTAAAGAAATTTTATAACATAATCCTTAATTATTAATCAAATATTTAAAAATATTTTTATTTAAAATCAGTTCTTTCTCACATGTCATTCAAAATTGCTGAACCTACTTTAAAACCACTTAAGGGGATTTGCAACTCTAAAAAAGTTGAGAGATGCTCTTATTTAACCAATCCCTGTTGTTGGAGGTTGGGTTATTTTCAATTTATCAATATTATAAGTTGCTGTAAATAGGTCTATAGTCAACATACAAATGCTACGTTATTAAATTAGTTTTAATTTTATCTCATAAATTCTATAAAATGGAAATTTTCATTCTGGACCTTGTGTCTACCGTTATAAGAATTTGACAATGCAAGGAATTGCCATTTTCACAGAAATATTGTGACAATGAGAGACTGCTTGATGACTTGGAACCATTTGTTTAATTTTCTCCAAGGAGAGATTGCTTATTCCTTTGTCCTTCCAAAGTTGTTGAAATCTGGCATCTTGAATGCTGAAAATCCTCAACAGAAAAACAAACAAACAAGCACTCACCAGCTGCAGCAGCTAATGTAGAGAAATTCATTTCGACTTCAGCCCTCAGTTCAAGGTGAAAGATTGCTGGCCTGCAAATCAGTTGCTAGAAAGACTGACATCTCCCATGTAACATACAGTACAGCAAAGGAAAAAGTGATGTTCGTGACAGATGGTCTTGGACACTGGCTTGGCTAAAATATTACATTCCATTCTCAATAATCTAAAAAATTGTAGGTTAAATATGACCCAATCATTGGTGATCTCATGTCACTCAGCCTGCTATTTCATATGATCGAGGGGCATTTCAGGACCTGCATAGGCAGCACTCCCAGAGGCAAGTGAAGATAGTGAGGAGAGGAGGGAAAACGTGGCTGTTCGGTGGGGCCACCAGGACCCTCACAATCTGTCCCAGGACCTCCCAGCAACCACACGCTTGAGCCCTCCTAGAAGTGGCTGCTAATTAACTGTCTCTTCCTTATATCCCACATCGCCCCCATACGATCAGTGAATTTTTTTCAGTATATTTTTGCTCCTTCTTCATCTGGTCTTGAGTTAAAAGTTTTAGCATTAATGTAATGGATAGATGGAGAGCCAGAAGAGAGAAAGAGCAACTAGGGGGATCATTTTATAAACTATATAGATGTCTAACCAATGTACTATATACTTGAAACAAATCCAAATCTTTAAAAAGTTTTAGAATGATTTTAGCTACTACTTCCTCCAATTCCCAGTTTTTCTGAGATAATTTAGTACTTTTGATTTAATATTGTTAAGTACGTTCTTTTGTTTCCAGAGTCCACATTCGCACTTACATACAGATTCCCTGACAGTCTACCCTTATTCATTTAGGTGAATAGATAACGTCTGTTTGGGTTTGAGGTCTTGTTAGAGCATTTCCCTGAGAAAAACGTCTCATTTAGGCCCACTTAGGTGATATAATCTCTGAATTCACACTTATTTTCAAGTTTCTTGGACATTGTGGTTTATAATTAATTTCTCTCATGAGTCTGGAGGTTTGATTCTACTGTCTTTTAGCTTATAGAGTTACACATGAGAAGTCCAATGACAATTAATTATTTTACTTTGGGAAGTGGTTTTCTTCGTGCCTGAAATTTTGTGATTTTTCTCTTCCTTTTTTGAATTCAGGAATTTTATTGGGATT